AGAGAAACAAGGTGCTTGAATGCCCTCAGTCCCTTTCTTTGTGCCAGACTTAACTTTGTTTCTTGAGTTGTCGTTAACGTTAACCCACCGCAGCTGCATCTTCTAAATAATGCCGCGAGTGGGGATTGAGGAAGTGACCTGCGCAGTGCACTGATGCAGCCCCAAGACTCAGGAAACAAAAATATTGCAAAATAATAATAATAATAATAATAGCGAGACGAAATAACATTATAACATTTCGTCTCGTCTCAAGATATTTTAGCAGAGTTTTTATTTTGCAAACCACATTTAGTCCTGTTTTTATTCTTCAACAATATTGCATTATATATTTGATTATAGTTTTCGTCACATGACCACCATTTACGTTGCGTCTCATCTCGTTTCCGTCATGTGATAAAGGTTCGTTGACAATGATATTTAGTCATAATTTTCGTTGACGAAAGCAAGACTAATTTCCACTGTATTTCTGTAATTGTAATTTTGTAGTCTGCTTAGAGGTATTCTGAGGCTCTGAAGTGGGAGTTGGCCAGACCCCTACATACTGCTGTATCTTCACCAGACTAAGTTCTGACACCAACAGGTTGCGGTGCTCGGTTGTGCTTGATGCCTTCTCCTCCTCTCACGTGTCAGAGTGATGTCGGAGGCCAGCGGACCCTGCAGCGACGCTGGACCACGTTCGCCAAAGCTCAGCTGTTGTGCCAGGCTGACAACGAGCTGCCCTACAATGTGATCCAGGACATAGACACCCTCCCACCAGCAGAGGGAGCTCCTGCAGATGACACACTCTTTTATGGCATCTTCACTTCGCAATGGTAAGTCAACTAAAGGGCAGCGGCATGAGCTGTGCTGTACCTAATCCTCTGAGGGTGGTTTAAGTTCCTCCCTCAATATTTATGTCAACCAGCATCTTACTTGGAGTCTCATTTCACTAGTGACTTCTAAATGTTCTAACCACACTGAGTGCAACTTAAAGCAGTGGTTCCCAAAGTGGGTTTGGTGGGTTTAGTTTAGATCCAGTAAAATGGCCATTCACCACTGCGCAAAAGCTGCTGTCTCTTTCTCAAAAGTACCAAGAGAAGCCTGCTTGGAGTGCAGGGAATACACTATCGTGGTGTCATCTGCGTACTAGTAAAATGTATGTAATGCATTGAGGGCTTTGCATAAATGCAGATCAAAGAAATCCTGGTACAAGGTACAAGGTACAAGACCAACCCCAGGTTGACTTAGGCTACAGTTAGCTTTGATGCCCCTGCTTTCCATCGTTCTTGGCTAGTAGCCGCTTGCTTTGTACTTTTACATAGCGATAATGTTAGGGAGCAAGCAAGGTAACCAGCCAGTCTGTATGTCACTAGTTGACAGTATTTTTGCTACGCTAGCTAGCAATTCGTTTGTGTCAGCAAGTAAAATAAGGTTAACCAGCAAAAACCACAATATGACAATATATTCCACAAGCTTCGCTGTAATGTTAGCTTTGACTTGCACTGCAGAGAGAGAAGGCACTCTGGAGCACGCATAAACGTCACATCCTTTTGGATTTTGCATAAAAAAATCAATGCACTAGCAACTGAGATAGTTGGAGAAGGTCTAATATTTTTTTAAGTTATGTTACAACCTGTTCACTCACTGGCAATAAAAATAGTACGTAAAATGTAACAGAATCTTACTAATGGAACCGTTTAAGCTCAATATTTATCTACGTCTAAGTCTCTACAGCAACGGTGTGTGGGTGTGGGTGTGTGGTGGGGTGCATGCAGTGGTGTCGTTTTGGGAAAAAAATAAAAATAATTTCAACATGCAGTATATATGTCGAGCAGGTGGAGGCATCAGCACTGTTACTCTTTACTGCTTTTACCCTGTAGAGTCTTATGTATCTACAGGAGGATCCCAGAAGCAAGGTGTTGTATGCTATAGCATCATGGGGCTTCTGTCTGCAGCTCTCATTGTCTTTCAATGTTTGTTTTTCCATCAACTAGGTCTGTCAACTCTGGACGGTCAGCAGTGTGTTCATTCCGCCTGACTGACATCAAATCAGTTTTCTCTGGCAATTACAAAGTCCTGAACCGGGACACATTACAGTGGAGCACACGGGTTCAAGAGAAAGTCGCAAATCCAGGAGAGGTAAATGGTTGCTTCTGATTGATACGAAAATGGAAGAGGACTGGCAGGAGACTGCTCATTTGATCGTTAGAAGAAAGACAAGACATACAGGCAAATATATTGGCTTCAACTCTAACAAGCTGAGCTAACAGTCCAACTTATTTGAGGAAGTTTATGCACCAAAGTAACCATCAACTTCAGAAACAGGAACCAAGGAAATATTTTTTACTCGCTACAAATGTATCTATTTGAACTTGAACTGATAGTTATGCTCCAGGTTAGGAAAACTGTAGTAAAATCACTGAAGACGCAGCAGAAAAACACTGACCACCCACCTGTAATGAACTTGAGACGTTTCGTCATGGACAAACTGGGAAAGATTTGTAAAAACCTATTGCCTATTGGTAATTGATATGACTGTTTGTGAGCAAATGCTGTCCTGTTTTGTCAAGAAGACAGAGACAAAGAGTCCTAGAAAGGTTTTTTTTTTTTTAACACTCATGTTTACAATTTAATTGCATTAACAAGATACCTAAGTGTGTTCAATTTTTGCATTTCTGTCAACCTGCCTTTTGTTTAACAGTGCGGCCTGCACAATGCATCAGACAACGCCCTGCGCTTTGTCAAAGAAAACTTCCTGGCAGACGACAGTGTGCGACCAGTTGGAAGAAGTCTAACCATGGTGTCTGCAGAGCACAACTACAGCCATCTGACTGTGCAGAGAGTCCAGGCTGCCAACAACAGAGACTACACTGTCCTGTTTCTGCTTACAGGTAGGCCACATGGGAGGCCACTATGTTCTGTCCAGTATGTAACCTGTCCAGTATGTCCTGTATGAAAATGCCTAAGCTCTACAACACTGGCACAGCTGGGTCAGTAAATTTCCCCAGTGTGGGATCAATAAAGTCAATCTTATGTTGTCACTCCAGGAAGTGGTGATTTGCTCACAGTGGCAGGTTTACATCCTCTTAGCACTTCTTAAATTAGAATCCTATCCGGACATTTTAGAGATAAAGGATTCAAATAAAGACACATGAGCTTGGCTGTCCAATGTCCCAGGCATATGCAGTGCTATTAAGAGGCTAGGGGAAGCTTGGCTTCCCCAAAATATGAATTCACCAGCTCCTTCATATAGCTATAGTGCTGTCAGCATCACACTACACTGATCTGAGTTCAGTAGTAGACCCGCCATTCAGACCCTCATATTGGTGTTCAACGTCAGCTATTTATGTGTGACCACTGCTGTTTTCATGCTCTCTTTGTAGGCAGCACATTTGATCTGCTGCTGATCTGTTCTGACTCTGAGGCTGTTGTGGTCTGGGTAGACTAATGTGCTGTTTTAGGACAATTCAGTAAAATGTGCAGTGTTTTGTGTTGCTCCCAGTTGAGTCATATCTCAAATCAGAGCTGTGCAAGATCTCAGGATTCATTCCCTATCCCCTATGGTGAATAGGAGCACTGGAAGAAGGCAGAATTGTTATACTGGCCTGGAGTAAAAAGGAGCAGGGCCCTAACCTGACTACGCCAGATGGTTTGTTACACATTCTCAGGTGTTAACTAAGTTGATAACAAACTGTGATGGTGGTGACAGCTGAACAAACTGACCCACTGACAGGTTCATGGTATTATGAGTGACACATACTTGGAAATGATCTGTACTACTGTTGATGGAGGCCTACTCTTGTTTTCCTGGTTCTTCTTCCCCTCAATCTCTTTGGTTGAACTGAACTTCCTTCCATCCATGTTTGCTAGCTCGCAGTCTTTCTTCTTCCTTCCTCATTGATATTCATCGCCAGCATCATACACTGCCAACTAACAGCTGTCACTCCACATGGGTTGTACAGTATTATGTCTCCACTGTATAAACGTGAAGTGTGTTTTCTCACTAACTTTGTGTCAGAGTCTGGCTACATGCACAAAGCAGTGCTGCTGCAGAGTGGGGCCCACATCATAGAGGAGGTCCAGGTTTTTGAGCAGCCTCAGCCTATCAAGAGCCTGAAGCTCTCCATACCCAAGGTACACAGTGAGACGGACATTTACTTCATGATTTAGTTCAAGTCTTTGTTTTTACTTATATTGATAATTTTTGACATTTATGTAAAGCTCCAAGTGAATCACCATATTGTTTTTTTTCTACTTTTTTTACACCAGACATCAAAGGTTGTGTAGCTTATTTGTGACGCTGCTGTTCCTCACAAAGAGTTTCATATAAAAACATCTACTTTTCATCTACTACAGTTTTGATCTCATTCTGTCCCACTGCAGGGTATGCTATATGTCGGCACATCAGAGGGTGTGGTGAGGGTTCCAACAGCCAACTGCTCTTTCTACTGGACCTGTCCTCAGTGTGTTCTGGCCCGAGACCCCTTCTGTGGTTGGGACCCTGCCAGCAGGGCCTGTGTGGCTGCCTCCAACACCCAAACCGGCCTGTGAGTACCACCAGATTTTGCCATCATTATGGTTAACTGTAACAAGGCATCATTATGTAGACACTATTTAAGTGGTTAATAGACTTTTATATAGACCCTTTCTAGTCTTGACCTACTAGTGCTTTACACTTCATGTTCATGTAAAATAGAAAATAAAACGGCCCGTTAGCCCCTGCTGCTCTGACAGTTGTGAATAAAGTTTCAGAGGCAGGTAGAAGTTTGTTTGCTAGCAATTGCTATAAAGCAGAAATGTGCTGCCTCGAGCAAAGGCACAGACTTTGGGGAATCAACTTATGGATCTGCTTCAACTGTGCGAGAGCCTGACCAAAAAAATGGGGTCAGTAACAGGCTTAGATTGTTCAGTGTATGCTCAGCTTTACTCAACAAGACTTGCTTTAGATTCTTGAATCTGTATCTAAAGCAAGTCCAGTTGCTTCTAGATATTCTGTGACCTTGATGGCTGAGAATTCCCAAAGACATTCATTTTGCAGTCTCATTTTCGGTGTAAATTGTCATTTTGATTGGTTGTAAAACATCAAGAGGGCAGGTCTTATCTAATATAAGAGGGCAGACACCAGAGGATAGAGTGTAGAAATACAACCACATGACGTCATCAGCAGTAAACTTATGTACCAACCTTCTCTGCTGACTCCCTCCTCAGAGGCCAGGACATAGACAGAGGGAATGTTGAAGAGGCATGCAACAGTGTTTCATTAACACACAGAGCCAGATTTGGTCCAAACAAACTGCCTGCAGGTAAGTGTCATTTATACCAGCTGCCATGCTTTGCTTCAGCTGGTTACATACTCCATGTAGCAAACACTGACTGATTTATAGGATCAATGTTCTTCATAGCACAGTGTCTTCTTTGAATCTTTACATTTATGTTGCAGCAATGAAACACAAATGTATAATTTTGGTTAAGGATCCATTGTTTTATAGAATTGTGACTAAGTACTTGTCAGTGGAGAAAGCTATATGCTTATATGATCTCTATATTGTTAGTGAAGCTGAAAAAGCAACTACAGCTTTATTAGTTGAAAACTTTCCCCTATTTAACTACATACAGTATGTAACTACAGTAGCAAGTGAAGAAATGTTTGTTTGCGTGCAGCCTTTTGCTTCTTAAATTCCCTTGGTAGAGCTGGCCCCCTCCCTAAGCTAAGTCCTTGCTGCAGTGGACATGGGTTCGACTCCAACCCGTGGTCCTTTGCTGCCCCTCTCTCTCTCTCGCTCTCTCTCTCTCTCATATATAGTTATGCTTTTCTTTACTGCAGCAGATTATTCAGCAGGTTTAGATTGCTGTTGCCAGTTTTTATATGTGATGACATTGTGTAGAGGGGTATGGGGGGGTCCTGGTGTATTGGGGGTTTTGGTGAGCTGTAATCTGTATGTCAGCCTCATGTCCTGCAGGTGAGCTGGTGTCGGTGTCTCTGAATGAAGTGGTGCGGCTGCAGTGTCCCGCAGCATCGCGGCTGTCCCAGCAGCTGTGGGAGCGCCCCAACAGCCGGCTGTCCCCAGATCTGTACCTGCACCTTGAGGATGGGAGTCTGAGCTTTGTGGCCACCCCCACCACACTGGGCCACTACCTCTGCCTGTCCACTGAGAACGGTTACCAGCAGACCATGGCCGTCTATCAGGTCAAACAGAAGAGCAGCCCAGTGGCTCAAACTCCGAGTTACACGCGGCCTCCGGCACGCCCCAAACCCACCACGCAGGCTGAGGCAAGGCCTGGATCTGGACTGCATACCTCTGTGGGACCTAAAAGAACAGAAACAAGACAGGGAAAGACTGAGCCAACACTGTCCAGCAGGGACAGTCAGGTCACCACCAGACAGCTGGGCAGAAACCTGACCCTGTGGACAGAGGAATCTGGGCAGAAAGATTCTGGGTTTCGGGACGGGGAGCCCCTGCTGTCGGCCCGAGCCCCCTCCTACCTAAAGGAGCTGGTGGTTGTGTCAGTTCTGCTGGTGCTCTGCCTCAGTCTGATAATCACCATGCTTCTGTACATCATTAGACAACGCTGCCGCAGCCGAACGGCCCCGCAGGCAGCAACCCCAACCAGAGACTCTGACAGGAGGACCCCTGTGGAGCAGGAGGCACTCAGGGGAAACCAGTTTCTAAGCAAACGCAATGGACAAGCCCCCCGCAGTGGACAGGCCAGCGGGTTAGTTTGTAACGGGGCACTCACAGGCTCTAATGGGCATTTGCCCAACACCCCCATCTGACATCTCCCAGACATTTTGACAGATGTTACAGATGGAACCAGTCCATGGCAGGCACCAGCCCAGTGGGAGGTTCTTTATGCACAGCCAATGACAAGAAACACTGTGGACTCATTGGTAAGGTTTGGATCTAATATGATGAAAGGCAATCTTCCTGTGGTACTTTAAATGAAGACACTCGACTGTTGAGATGGTACTTTGTTGTTGCCAGACAATGAAACACATTAACTGTGATTACCTGAATGTTCTGTGTGTTTTCACTTACTAGACAGTAGGGATGGTACGATTATTCAATATTATCGCGTATCGCGATTTAAAAAAAACACAGATAAGTTTATTGTGGTGAATTTCCATAATCAGAATAGTTGTCAGTCCAGACAAACACAAATATCCTCACATGGCTAGACTTAAAAAATGTATCTAGCTCGCTGACTTACAGTCTTATCTTGATTTCTTGATTTACTTAGAATTGCCACAAGGGGGAGCCCAAATCTTTCCTGTCATTTCAAAATCCCAAGAATCTGTTTGCTCGTTGTATCCCCACAAATGGATTCCAAACTAAAGAACAACATCCTATCTGTGATGCAGAAAATATTTGTTTCTTAACTAAATGTAAGGTAAAGTGATTCCAGTATATTCTAGTGCCATTTTTAAGATTTTGATGGTTATCCTAAGTATGTAATGTATTGCATTGGGCAGGATTATCATGACATGAAACTTTAATATCGTCAATGCCTACTGGACAGTAACATTTGGGACAGAAAGGTACAGGCAGATTCAGTACAGCTAGTTTTTTATATATTTGACAGTATTTGATGCAAAGCCAGTGACCTCCACAGTTCTGCATCTATTCTCTAAGGGATAAATACATTCAGAGAGTTCATCTAAAATAGAAATCAACAGAAATGTTAGATTTTAAAACGTCCTCTCTTGTTGGGGAAAGAGGTCGGTTTCATCAAACTCAGAATAATAAAGTCTGCATATAGGCAGATATCTCATGTGGCTGTGTGCAGCTTCTATTAAATGTGTTTGTATTCTGTTGTGCCAAACACATTTTGGAAGAAACATAATTAATGCCCAGATCAAGTGTGTTGCTCCTCTGACAGAAGTAGGTGGCTGGGGTGGAGGATGGTTCACCAATTCATCTGCAGAAACGGGCCACAGAGGTCAGGCCGGTACGCTTGTTTATCATTTGTTTGTGAGATGTATTACACACAGGACGTGAGTGTGCCTTGGCTTACAGTTAAGGTGATGCTTAAGGTGCAGCTGTCTGCAGTGGTGTACTGGCCATTGGGCCTCCAAGGACAGATCCCATTGGGCTGTCAAACAATCCATAATGTTTTTACCAGCTGTCTGGCCCTGTCTGTCTTTTTACCGACCCTCTCTGTGTGCACTGTCGAGCCGTGCTTATGCCCCCTCCAAAATGTGTTTCCTCGACTCCTCTCTCCTCACATCTTTTCCCTGCAGTTAAGATGCAAGTGAGGGAAACGAGAGCTCTGAGACAATAAGAAGAACCCATGGTTTCTGTCACCTGAGTCGGGGATTACAGAAACCTGGTTTCCCCAGCTAGTTTTCTCCTGGAGAACACCGATTTGTTGGCGATGTATACATGTCACTGGGTTTCTGATCTGCTTTTTCACACACTGCATGTCCCAGTAACCAGCTGACTATTTGTAAAATCCAGCCATATTTTCTCTAAGTGAGAACTGTGCTCTTACTACAGAGCCCCCCACACAGGCATTGTATCACAGCTACAGTTTCCTAAATAATGTTGGGGGGTAGGGCTGAAATCTGATTACTGACCTGCTGTATGTGTACATAGATATTACGGTAATAATACTGTGTATTGGCAAGAATCTGGCGATTGCAGTACATATCACAGTACAGAGGTTATGATCGCTGTAGTGGGATACTGTAAGCAAGGTGATGTATTGTGATTTCACATCACAGCCCTCAGTTTACATTTACAGCACTGCTGTCCAACAGTTGGGGGTTTAAACACAGAAATCACTACGATGTTTTTAAGGAATCGATACAATATCACAATATCATATTTTTCTATATTTTCTTCCACCCCTGTAGGTTACAGTGCAACATGGTGTCTGATTTCCTGCATCCTGATTACTTTGAGTATGCTGCTTTCTTGTGAGCATGTAAATGTTTTGACAGTGTTTGATTGTGGTCATATGGGACACCAATTTAAGACAATGTTTTTCTACAAATCTCTTTTAGTGTAATATGTATGTTACAGGAGCTTTCAGGTGCACTAAGATCCATCTATTCTTGCTCTATAACAGCGTCTACAGACACTTTGCTGCTGGTTTTGTACTTTATGTTGCCCATATGTGTAGACCTTGCAAGCAAGCAAGCAGTGAATGAAATTGGGTTTGTTGTTTTGCAAAATAATTTTTGCATTTCATCAGAGTGTTGTCATTCAACACCTGCTGAAAAGTCTGAACAGATTCGGGAAGGTTAATAATTAACTGGAGGAGGTTTAAGAAAGCTCGTCTGTGGAATCGGGACCAAATTTACATCGCTGCTGGAATGTTTTCAAATGAGCTTGTCATGCTGACTCCAAAAAATGCTTGCCTTTGTAAAATCTTCAGCACAATCATCAGTTTTTTGTATTGTATTCGACTTGCTGACAACATTTTCAATGTGTTTTGGGTACTGTATTTAACTACATCACTATGCCATTTGGGGTGGCCATCCACCCCAATGAGAATTCAGAAGACCAGCTCCCTTTTTTTTGGATGTTTTGAAAATCTAGAAAGAATAAAAGTCATCTGTCAACAGTTGTTTATGTTTTTGCATATTTTGTCCATTTACTTTTTTTTTGTATTTTGTAATACATTTGTAACGGATAAAAATCCTGGTACGTTTCTTTTAAAGCACTGATATAAAAATGTCAGGTTTTCAGGATGTTTTTTCTAGCTGTTGTCATATGGTAACCCCTGTCATATTAGAGATGGAAAACAATAACTGGCTACTTAATTAAAGGGCCAGTGTGTAGGCCTCCCATTCCAAGTGTGTAGGGAAAACTACGCTGGCTGTGAAAATGTAAAAGGCCGTATCTAGAGCCAGTGTTTGGTTTGTCTGTTCTGGGTTACTGTAGAAACATGGCGGATTCTGGAATTGGACATTATATTCATTTGGTCCAATGTTTCCATTAGTGTATAATCGCCACAAAAAAAAAGAATTGTTGTGTTTTTGTTAATTTAGAATGAGCTGTTTATCCACAGAGGAGGAATCTGCCATGTTTCTACAGTAGCCACTAAATCCTACGCACTGGACTCTTAATGTATGATTTGTGCAGTTGATTACACAACACCATTCTCTCATTATAGTAGTTGTTGTTCAGTGTGAATACTGAAAGTGTGGTAGAGGTTTCAATGTTGCATAACTGTCAATACTTGAAGAATACATCCAAAAACAATAATTCTGTCTTTTTTTTTTTTATTTTAGAGAGAGGACAGACTGATTAATCTTTTTAGGGGATTTCTGAGGCTTTCCCAAAATGTCGGACTGATCCTTTAAAATATGTCACAGGTTTCGTTCAGATTTATGACCCACTGTTTTGTTCTGCTTTGTAATTCTCACTGTCACTACTTGTTTTTCTTTTGTTAAAATATTTCTATATGTTTTAATATTTACAACTTATTGGGGAAAAGGGAGGGGAAGGAGGTGCGTGTGTGAGTCACACAGGGAGGCTCATTTTATTTATTAACTCAGTGAAATGGATCCAACAATGTACTGTATTCCTAAAAGAGGTACAGGGGAATTAAGTAATCAATAATACAGGATAAAGTCCTGATCAATCCAAATGTATCTAGTGTTTACCTTTATGAAAGGAATGTGACACGCCAGCTGCAGCCTCCTTTTTAAAGTTGTGACCTGTGGGGAAAAAAGAAGCATTTCCTCGTTCCACAACATGACGCTGAACACAGCTGTCACAACAAAAGAAAAGATCTGCGGGCTGCTGGGTCGGCAGAGACCTCAGTGAGTTGGTTTTGGCTAAAAAGAGAAGTCTGTTGTTAAGGTGAGATTTACAACACATTCATGTAAGGAATTAGGAATGTTAAAGATCCAAGTGTCAAACTCTGCACATACATTATTCTGCACAGTGAAAATCAAACACCACTGTCGAAATGAGAAGAAACAGTTTTTTGACTGGAGGGGACTTTAATAATATTCTGTTAAAGTGTGAGTTAGCACTAGCAGCTGCCTTCTGAGTTTAATGTAGGGATGCACAATATTGGATGTTTGCTGTTATCTGATAAGGCCGATATCTTCCAGTTTATTTTGGCTGATGTCGATATATGCACAAACTTTATTTCACCTAAAGTCTCTTCTAAAGTGTAGTTCACATTATTATGTGTACTGTTATCCTAATAGCCCACTAGCAGATGCAGACATAAAATAAAAAAATTTAAAAGGAAGACATTCACTGGGCTACTCCTCACATGGCCGACAGAGCAATGATTGCAAATAGCAGATAAACCCACTTAGGACACTTCAAAAAACCTCTACACACATACATACTCACGTTCTGTGTGCATTATTAAACTGTCATCGGCTGACCGATATTTAATTTTAAGGTCTTTACTGGCTGATGCCGATGACATGCGGATATTATCATGCATCCCTAGTTTAATGTGTGAATTAGTGAACAAGAGCGATGCATTTAACATGTCTTAAGCTGTATGTATGTCCATAAAATCAAATATAAGGTGGCTGGGATAATCCCTTGCTTGTTTAGTACCTTCAGAAACCTCAAATGTAGTATAGTACTTTAAGTTTCCAAGATTCATATAGCTGCTTGCCTCCATCCTACTGCTAGACTGCTTTAGGAATATCATAACCACAGAAAACCTGCTGGTCTTTTGGCGCCAACTTGTGGCCAAAATGTGTTTCACATTGAATCCTAAACTTAAGTCTTGGTTTAAAGACTTGTACACACACACACATCTGATCAGCTTAGACTCTAATATTAAGATTTTTGAGGTTGTAACTTGTATTGGATGTAGAGGATGAAGAGTGCCACAGCATCTGCACAGCAAGTTCAGCTTCTTTTGAGTTATTAATACTAGAGATTGTATTTTATAGATTTTACAGTCACAATAAATGTGTATCTTGTTACAGTTGCCGTTGCACTTCAAGGCCACCTTAGTGGGAGGCATTGCAGCACAGAGGAGGCAGGAGGACAGTTCAAGGTAATTTCACTTAAGTATTTTGGCTCTACTTTTATTATGTTGAATTTCCACTGTAACGCTATAGCAAAACAGGTCTGGCCCAAATACAGCAATGAATTA